ATATATATATATATTAAGAAAAGTGACTATTAAACCCTCCTCCCCAAAAAAAAAAGGGAGGCTCACCTTCATTTGAGTACGTTTGTTTTGGAACCAAAACTTTACTTGCAAAGGCTCCAACGCTAGTCGTTTTCCCAATTCTTTTCTTTGTTTATCGTCAGGGTGAGGGCATTCTTTAAAAAACCTGATAAAACACTGACCATGGTTAGTTCAAATAACCAATATATATAAGGGTCTATTCATTTGCTTTAGAATAAGTACTAGGAATAATTTATATATAAATTTAAGTTATATATACACTTAAAGTGTACTATGATTAAGTATACACTTACGATTCCATTTCTTGGATTTGATGCTGAGTATGGCGGTGGTAACGCTTCTTCTTATTTGGACGTTGATTTGGATCTTGATCATCACCTGAATTAGGAGCTTCCATGATATCAGTACCTGATTTGCTCTCGAATTCTTCATCTCGAATAAAGTCCATCTCATTTTCTGGTGTTTTATTATGGGCGGACATATCTAGCAAATGATGGTGGCTATCAAACATGTTTCCCTTAAACATCTTGACTTTATCCTTTCTCTTAAAGCTAAATATTTTTCATCTGCAAAAGAAGAAGAAAAAGCCCATCTCTGTGAACAAACCATACACATGCTAGATTATACGGAAGTGTGGACAAAAGGCAAAAGCTCAAGATTCAAAAGGAAGAAATTATTTAATTTTTTCACAAAAACCATGTACGTATAATTACAAGCTGAAAAACTTGCCATTTTTTAATAGATAAAGGAAGAAAAAGCTAAGTACAAAGTACTTTAATTGGTTTTTATTTTTGTTTCGCCTTCACCATGCTCATTCTGTAAAAACAATACTCCAACTAATGATTTTACAGTTTGGGATGTGAAGACTTAGACTTCTATTTTTGTTCTAGGTTTTCTTTATTTGCTGCTTCACGGCGTTTAAGAACAGAAAATTATGGATTTTTGTTATTAAGAATTTATACCTTTCCTAGCTCAATATCCAAAACAGATCTCAAGAGTTGAAAAAGAAGTATCAAAGGAAAGTGAAGAGAAACGTATACACGTAAAAGCAAAAAATAAAGAGATGGATAGTCAAAAGAGGTAGTTCAAACGACTTACTTTTCTAGAATTGAGCTTCTCAAAAAAAATAAATCAAAAGACATCTTGCGGCAGAATTTTTACACTCACCATATGATATAGCCCTTCAAACCCTAAAATGACCTCTTTCTCTCTCTCTCTCTACTGACTTTCTTGTCTCTATGCGTAGATAACTTAGTTTTTTTTTTTTGTTTTGACTGGCTACAAAGATTTAAGGGGAAGAATTGACCTCGGTTTTGGGATGTCAAACAAAGACTTCATATTTATTCTATATTATTTTCTCTGTCTTGACGTGACAAAGAAAAGAAGTTCTTTTCGACAGTGCCAAAAGAATGAAATGGGAAAATTATACTAGTATAAAAACAAAAGACAGAGTTGACAAGGTGTGAACACGGACACTGCCTATATTTCTTCTTTTTTTTTTTTTTCAAACTAAGGCAAAGCTTATGTTATAACGTCAACGAATACCTTGGTAGAGTGCTCCAACAACACTCATATATCACTCTTTCTGTAATGGTATAACGGAGAAGGAATAGAAGTCAAAGCAAGAACAAGTAAAACTAAAACCTACCACTTATACTAAACCTACAGTGGTTTTCTGAAACAAGTAAAGCTTTGAAAAATGCAAGAGAAGGAAAAAAGATGAGAATGATGGAACTTTAACTTACTGTCTGTGTGATGAGCCTTGGACAAAAGCAAGAAGAGAAGCAAATAAACTCCAAGGGTTTAGATCTGGTTTTCAGGACAAAGTATTAAACCACTTTTTGCAGGCTGAAAACTTGTGTCTTTTTTTTCATGGACAAGAAAGAACAACTTTTTTTGTGAAGGGAATTTAAGGAATGAAAGAGGATTTGGAGAAGGAAAAAGAGGGGAAGGGAGCAGGTGAAGAAGATGATGCAGTAGAAGGAGTTAATGCAGAGCGTATAGAGAGGATGAAATAGCATTAATGGCTGGTGGAGGTGTTAATGTTATTGTTGAGAGAGAAGGGGGGAGAGAGAGAGAAGTTGGAAAATTGGCAGCTCATATTGATGTTTAAATTTCCACTACAGGGGTATGGTGAAACAGACTTATTATGGTTTCTTATTAACAACAGCAGACACCTCATGCACACAGCTCAATTCTTACTGGATTCAAGAGTCTCAACACTATCTCTTCCCATTCCTTTATTTCCTCTAAGCTTATTATTATAGAGTACAGTAAATATATATATATATTTTTTCTTTGTAAATTAAACAAGGTATAACAAAGAAAAGAGAATTAACAACCTATTATTCGCAGGGGCGGATCCAGCATAGCAGTGCTAGGTTCAATAAATTCAATACTTTCAACGTGGAACATAAATTTATATGTAAAAGTTATCTAAAATAGAAATAAATAGTAGATATGAACCTATAACTTTAACAATATAATGGGTTCAATACTAAAAAATTTAGAGGTTGAACCCATAAAATTCAAATCATGGATCCACCTCTAATTATTCACTTATTTTTCTCTGCATACTTAACTAATTAATTGCCTACTACTACTAATCTTTTATTACCTATGAATCTTCTTGTTGATTATGTAAGTATGAGAAGTGATGTTCTATACTTCAATACCTCACAAGAGGGGGGTGATTTGTGTGGTACCCAATTTTTCGCTTAACTTGATTATAGAAGGACCTGGTTCTTCTATGTGTTCCAACCACTACTGTTGCGGAATAATAAGTACAGAATTAAAGAACACAAAGATTTTACGTGGAAAACACCTAGCTCAAAAGGTGAAAAAACCACGACCTACTTTCCAGTAGGATTTTCCCAAACTCTCCACTAAAATCACTGAGCCAAAAACTGCATTTACAAAAACTCTTTTGTAAACCTAGGATTAACTCTAATCCCGTTGTAGCACATAGCCTCAACTGTTGCGACAACTTCAAGTTAACTCTAACTTGAAAACTTTGAGTACCTAATACAATTGCTTCTAGATAAGCTGAAAGGTCCAATATGAAAACCACCTGCTACAATCGAACTAGAATAAAAGATAGACACTTGGAACTGGTTCTTCTATCTGGTTCAAGTAGCTTCAGGTTTGCACGCTTGAATCACACACAAATTACTTGCAAAATTGCCTTGCTATTTTACTCTCAATTTACGTTTTACTTCTGCTTATGTGTGTTACCTGTAAAAGAGAACAACACTGATATTTATGGAGTTAGTAATTAGAGCTTCACTAGAATTCTAATGCCACTCTTCTATGGTGGAAGAGTTCTAGTTCAACTCATCGTCTAACTCTATCCGTCTCTTAAGCAGTGTTCTCTTTGTGTAAGGAGTCTTTCTCCTTATCCAATAAGCAACCCTTTCGATCATGATCAGGAGATATCACTTCTGGAAGTTAGGTTTATCTCCTTCACGTGCATCTCACATGCTTGAGTTGACCATATCTGTGCCTCACTAGGATGGACCTGGTCCATGTCTGAGTTCCTTTGTCAGTCTTCAAAACTCACATTTACTTGGGCCAACAAGAAGGATCATTAAAGAGAAATTTTCATAAAGAACTATCTTTTAGTAGTAATTAGCCATCTATAGATATCATTTGCTATATTACGGATTATGGATACCTTTTATGTGGTTATAAGATGTATTTGATGTATTTAAGCTATTGTATTCATGAATACAGTAGCAAAAATAGGCATGAATCATGGATGTCCAGCTAATCAGTTGTTGTATTCGAGTGTATTCGACTGTATTCATGGAGTGAAACATGGGATTACAGCTGGACAGATTATTGTATTCGACTGTATTCACGATGTGAAATAGGGGATTACACTGTTTTTAAAACGGAAAGTGAATAAATTAACATAATAGACTCCTAATATAACTCAACAAACTCAATTGTAACACACAAATTTTGTATTTCAAGTTATAAAAAAAGATTCTCAACCGAAAAATACCCCAAAAATATAGCAATCTTCAGAGAAATTATATAATACATATGAATACATAAATTATATTAATTAAAAAAAACATATGAATACATTCATGGCATATAACGAGACAGTGAATACAATGAAATACATAGAATACAGTGGGATACATTGAAATACAATGAAAAAAAAGACAATGAATATAATGAAATACATAGAATACAACGAGATACATTGAAATACAATGAAAAAAAGGTAACAGACTCTTCAAGTTGCTCAGCCCCAAACTCCGTCGTCTTTGTTCAAGAATAACCCTAATATCGTCTCGTCGATAGCAGATTTCGAACCTCCATTGTCAGCCCCAATGTACCCAAAAAATTCCTTTCAAAAATACCTGACAGTGAGTAATGGTCATGCTTTTTGCAAAAATTACTCCTGTATTTGATGTAATTACTCCAGCAACCATTTTCTGTATTTGCGTAATTTTTGAGTAATTACATCAAAGATTACTCCTGATGTAATCTAATGGTCATGCTTTTTGAAAAAATGATCCACAATGGCTCCTTTTGAATGACAGCGTGACGGAGGATTCCCAGCTTAGGGTTGCTGCTGTCGTCGGAAGAGTCGGTGACGACGTAGAATTGGCCGGCTATGCCGATGGTGGTCCCTTTACCAAAGCTCATTGCACAATCTACTAAATTTTCATTGTCAGCCCCAATTTACCTTTCAATAGCAGGTTTTGAACCTCCATCTTTCTCTCTAGGGTTTGATTTCGACATTGATTTAGAGCCCCAGGCCACTGACAATGAAAATTTCGTTCGACAATGGAGATGAATTAGTGGAGAATCATGGTTGTATTCATGGAGAAAGACAGGCGTTGAGAGAGAGGGTGGAGAAAAATCTGAAAGAATGAGAGAGAAAAATAATACAAAGCGTATTTTATGGCTTAAGGGTAGGAAGTGACCATAAATAGATATTTGGCTATAAAAATCAAAATGTAGCTATGGAATATAATTTTTTTAAAGGGTATTTATTTAAAATAAATAAGGTATCAACCTTTGCTGTATGAGGTAAAAATTCCATCATTAAATTAGAGTTATTTGATGGTAGCTAATTAATAGAAGAAAAACGGATGTAAGGGAGGTATATCTGTTTTTCTTCTTTAAATTTGTTACCATTTCTTCTTCTTTTTTTTTGGGGGGGGGGGGGGGGGGGGGCTGAATAAAGATGCATTTTACTAAAGGAAGTAAAGGAAATTAAACTGGTTCAATACAAATAAGAACTAATCTGGATAATTGGGTTCCAGTATAGGGGAAAAGTTCCAAAATAGAGTTATTTAACATCAAATAACTCTAATTATGATGATCCTTCTCAAACTTACGTATATTGTTTTTTAAAAACTTAGACACGCTGACATGTTACATAGTTTATTTGAGGATATTAATCTCACATTATAAATGATTACCCATAGTTATCTTTTAGATGATTACATTTAAATTTATTGTATACGATTAGTGTAATAGAAGTTAAACTGTATACTTGACTCACCCATTCTTCTCAGAGGGCACGAGTATATATACTCCACAAAAAGTATCCAGTACTCCACTATGTATATTAATATCGATATATTAGTGCAGTTAGGTGTAAGTTGTTTTTATAGGACATTCTAATGGATATTCTAATTTTGATCTCCTTACAAAATTATGAACGTCTTAATATCTCAATTACATTGGCATATGAATAATGAAATCACGACTAAGAAATCTAATGAATTTCTTAAAATTAACCTTGATTAATTCAGCTTTATAATTTTCCTTTGTTGTCATCCGAGCACATCGTCATTTAAAAAGAAAAGAATGAATCTCTTCAATTTCATTATTTCTTTTTATTATCCACTGCAAATGCAAAGAAGATCAAAAGAGAAAGATGACTCTTGCTTACTTTTAACGGTACTGTCAAGATCACAGATATGGAGAGCCCCTCTGTATCTCCTCCAATGGAGGATTCAGTAGCTTCTAAAAGACAGAGCTCGTGGAGAGGAAAAGAGAACTTCTGAGAGTTTTCAACTTTATGAAATGAAACTCAGATTGTGTGTATTGAGTACTGTTCAAAATATATACATGTAGGATACAACTGGCAACAAGAAAAATAAAGCTCCACTCCACTAACTAATCTGTAACAAACTATTAATAAACTATTCTAACTAATACCACCTAACTAATGCTGACTCAGCGTAGGTACAAGTAATTACAAGAAGATAAATACATTATAGTCTTAATACCCCCCTCAAGTTGGATGTGAGGAGATCACAACCAACTTGCCAAGAACATAATAATGCTTGATCCCAGTGAGAGCTTTAGTAAGCACATCTACAAGCTAATGTCCAGTGCCAATGTGGTGCAAAGAGTTGAGTCCTTCCTGAAGCTTGGTACGCACAAAATGACAGTCTACTTCAATGTGTTTAGTTCTTTCATGGAACACAGAGTTCCTAGAAATTTGAGTAGAGAGGCTGTCACAGTGCACATGTATTGGCAAACAAATTGGCACAGTGAGTTCTTCAAGTAGTCTTGATAGCCAAATAAGTTCACCAACAATTTTTCTGAGGACTCTATATTCTGCTTCTGCTGACGTGAGGGATATGGTTTCCTGTTTCTTGGACTTCCAACTGATAGGGCTGTCACCTAAGAATACAACATAACCAGATACTGACCTTCTAGAATCAGGGCAAGCTGCCTAATCAGAATCACAATAAGCAGCCAGTGAAAGATCATCTGTATTGCTAAAGTATAGACCTAGAGTAGGGTCCTTCTTCAGGTACCTCAGCATATGATAGGCTGCATGTAGTGGGGCTCCCTAGGATCTTGCATAAACTGGCTGAGATGTTGGACCCCATATGCTATGTCTAGTCTAGTATTAGTAAGGAAGTTCAATTTTCCAACCAATTTCCTGTAGAAGGTAGGATCAGACAATGGAGCCCCCTCTTATGCTTTCAACTTTACTGTAGTATCAAAGGGAGAAGTCAAGGCTGGGGAATGTAGACACTCATATTCCTTTAACAAGTCTAAAACAAATTTTCTTTGTGAAATGATAATACCATCTGACTTGTAAAGAATTTCTAGTCCAGTAATGTAGCTGCC